TCTTTCTTTTCTTTTTCTTTCTTTCTCTCTACCTACCTACCTACCTGTGTGCTGTCTGTCTTTCTATCATCTATCTGCTTTTCTGTCTCTGTCTATCTACCATTTCTATTTATATCTCTCTACCTTTCTATATCTGTCTGTGTCTGTCTCTATTTATCTACAGTAGGTGTATCTAATCGCAGCCAGGGGTGGGATTTGCCGGTTCGCTGACAAACCGGCCATAAAATTAACAACTGGTTCTCTTGAACCGAGATGAACCGGTTTAAACCCACCCACCCCGTTTTAAAGCACTTTGCACGATATTTTCATAATAATTCATAACGTGAGAACAAAATAAATGATCGTATCAACTCATGAAATATTTCTCTGGTCTTTTAGAGTTGCCAGCAGAAAGTTGACAGCTGGTTAACTCAGTTCCTTGGGCCTTTGAAATGTAAAGAGAATCTCTCCCATATTTCCAATTTAAAAAAAGAATTGGGTAGGAAGGTTCCATGGTGAAGGAGCATGGGCCGGCCCGAGGGTTTGATGCGAATCTCATGCAAATGTTTGCAAATGAGGCAGCGCCGTTTCCAAAACCGGACCGAGAAGCCAAGATTCCTGTTTTGTTGTTATTGTTGTTTTATTTTTGTTTTTAAAAACTTGGTTTTTTAAACTCTGTCGCCTGTGTGTGTTTACCTTCACCTTTCTCACGGGACGGGTTGCGTCGCATTGGCATTGTTTGATATTTTAAGAAGTGAGGAATTCCCCGGTGTGGTTCCAGTCCCAAAGGAACAAGCCAGGATCGAAGCGTGAGGGTGTTTCGTTTTATTTTTTTTGCTTTCATCGCAGACAGTTCTCAACTTACGACCGCTGTGCCCGTTGCCGAGGTTGTTCAGGGAGTTTTGTGCGCCCCCACCCCGGTTTGGCGACCGTTTAGACTGCCGTTGTTGAGCGAATCGTGGCATTGTGCTCGTCAAGAGACAACTCACACGCTCACACCCTCCCCGGGATACAGTGACTGTCGCAACTACGAGTCGGCTGAGTGGCTGAGTTTTGGGTCCCGTGGGGACAGTACAATGGTCATCATGGGAAAAATGGGCCTTTTTGTCAGTTCCGTTATAATGGTCGAAAGGTCGTTAAACGAACTGGGATTTGGAGAGGCCTATCTGAACAGCTGGTCCTCAAGTTACGATGGGTCACTTAGCTTCCTTCCTTCCTCCTTTCCCCTCCGTTACCCATCCATATATTCACTTCTTCTTTCTCTCCCTTCCTTCCTTTGTTCCTCCCTCCCTCCCTCCTTTGCTTCCTTTCTTCCTTCTATCCTTCCTTCCCTCCATCCCTTATTTCCTTCCTATCTTCTCTCCCTCTCTCCCTGATTTCTTTCCTTCCTCCCTCCCTCCCTCTCTTTCTCCCCTTTCTTCTCCATTCTTTTCTTCTTTCCTTCCTTCCTTCCCTCCTTTATTCATTACGTCCCTCCCTCCCTTCCCCTCCCTCCCTCCCTTCCCCTCCCTCCCTCCCTCCCTCCCTCCCTCCCTCCCTTCTATCTGTTTAACAATTTTGGCCACATCAAGTTGAATGGACTTCAACTCCCAGAATTCCCCAGCCTTCATGTTGACTGTTCTATCTATCCATCCAGGAAAGGAGAAAGGAATGGAATGGAATGGAAAAAGGGAAGGAGAAAGGGGAAAAAAAGAAATGAAGGAAGGAAAGAGAAAAGTTAAGGTGAATGGAAAGGAAAGGAGAAAGGAGTGGAATGGAAAAAGGAAAGGAAAAGGGGAAGAAATTGGAAAGGAAAATAAAGGAAAAACAGAAATGAAAGGAAGAGGAAAAAGAGAAAGGAAAGAAGGGAAGAGGAAAAGGGAAGGGAAAAAACAAGAAAACAAAGAAGAGAAGGAAAGAAGAAAAGGAAAGGAAGGGGAAAGAGGAAAAAGTAACTACTGGAAAGAAGAAAGGAAGGAAGGGAAAAGGAAAGAGAAGGAAGGTAAATGAAGGAGAGAGGAAAATAAAGGAGAGGAAAAAAGAGAAAGGAAGGAAGATAAAGGAGAAAGGGAAAAAAAGAAAGACAGGAAAGGAAAAAAGAGCATAGGGGAGGTTAAGGAAGATAGATGAGATATCTCTTTTTCAATCCCATTGAAACCTCAGACAGTCGCCAAACTAAAGGGTCGTTACTCAAGGACTACCTCACCCCTTTCTCGTGTGTGTGTGTGGGGCAGGCGACTTCGCTTTGCGCCACGTCTCCTTGAAGCGCTTCCTTTGTAAACTGAGGACTGGGCTGGCTTTTGAACGACGGAGCAGGCCCCCGACACTACTTTCTCTCCCTTCCCACTTCTGCCATTTCTCTCCCCCCCCCCCCCCCCCCATTCTCGCTTCCGCAATCCAGGGTGTCTTTCGCACTCGGGGAGGCCTCGGCGGCGACACTCTGCAGGCACTCGTCGGGATGGCAGCGAGCTGACGCGGAACCACCGAGAATGTCCTGGACTGAGTCGCTCCGCGGGAAGATCTCCGGGGCCTTCTACAACCACGGCTTGCGCTGCGCCTCCTGCCCGATACCCATCATCCTCTTCACAGGCCTCTGCGTCCTGGCCTGCTGGTAATACCTTCTGCCCAAAGGACTAGGGGATTCTGGGAGTTGGAGTCCTCCCCTCTTAAAGGATGCCAGGGGATTCTGGGAGTTGGAGTCCTCCCCTCTTAAAGCATGAAACTCGACCTGGCCTTGGGTGTTAATTCTGCCTTTCTTTCCTTGACTGAAGTTATCCATTACTGAAGCTCCCACTTCCGGGCACGGGGCCGGTGGAGTACACCACGCCAGTGAAGGACTACAGCCAGCCGCCCCCGTTCCCCACCCAGCCGCAGGGAGAGCTGAGCGAGCGCCCCGACTGGGTAAGGGACGGACCACGGCCCCCCGTTTGAATCGACGTTTTGATAGCGAGACCGTCAAGACAGAAGGGATGTCCTCCTGAGCTGGGTGGTTTTCTTGCAGGCGTTTCGTGACCCATCTAGGGAACGCCATCAGTGCTGGAAGGGGAGGGCGTTGGGTTGGTTTGATGGCGCCTTTTAGCACTGATGGTGTTCCCTCGTTGAGACATGAAACATCAGCAAGAAAACCGCCCCTCTGAGAGAGCACCAAGGATCCCACAGTCCTTCTCCTCCTGCCCCTCCTTTTTCCTCTTCTCCCCACCCCCCCCCCCCCCCTTGTAGCACTGTTGTTGTTACCTAGTTGGGTCATGAAACGTCTGCCAGAAAAGCACCAAGCTCAGAGAACCCCAAAGACCCTACAGTCTTCTTCCCTCCTCCTCC